GTTCTTCATCAGAAAATAATAGTTCGGTGAACAAACAATAAACCGATCCGACCAATCCGTTCTTGAAGCAAAGCGGAAAAGAATTGATCCGTTGATCGATTCCTAAGAATTGAAGCTAGAGGCTGATCTCCCTGATTGTAGGGATTGATCCTTACCGAGCAACAAAAATATTTTACGTAGAATCATACAAACAATACAAATTAGATTTGAAGAACTAGAATATTGATCACTAATATTCATATATTTTGTCATAAATCACTACTCAGGTGTGGAATCATTTGAAGTAGATTTGAAGGAGCAGAAAGTGACCGTGAAGGGCAACGTCCAGCCCGATGCGGTTCTGCAAACTGTGTCGAAGACAGGAAAGAAGACGGCCTTCTGGGATTCTCCGACAGAACCTGAGGCGAAGCCGGCCGGCGCTGTTGCCGCGGCTTAAAATGCCCCGCGGTTGCTTAATTGATTGATGTGGTTAATAGCATTTTAAAACTATCATATGAATTGTTGAATGTATACAATAAGCTATTGGGTGAACTCAGTTATATTGTTATCTTTAAAGAATCCCACTTGATGTGGAACGGAATTGTTCGTCTCTGTCATGGAATGTGGACCAAGACTTGTTGCAACCTTCAATTTTATCGGGACATAATATGAGTAACACGACATTATTGCCTCTAAACAATCAGTCAATTGGTCTAGCGATAGATGATATATTAACGTCAATAGTTCGGATTTTAATATTTACGAATAGAGTAAATTAGGTTTGATGGGTCGTTTTAATCTAGCCATCTTAGGTCGTTTTAAGGTAACAAAATCTTTTTTAACTAATTGATAATGCACATAAATCTTGCAGATCCGTTGTTGAAAATCAAAACTTTAAAAAATAAAAAATAATATTCTCTTTTATCATTAAAATTATTTAATGAGTTCCCATGCATCTTAAAATATCAATCTATCCTATTTAGGGATGGTAACGTGTCGGGTTGGATTTTTGGTTAATCCAATCCGACCTGAAAGTTATGTATCATCTATCTAATTCAACTCGAAAATTATATATCATCCACTTAATCCAATCTGACTATAAAAATATATATTCTCTACCCGATTTATATTTTTAGAGTATAAATCCGACCCGACTCGGTATAAAATAAGAATTTAATTAAAAAAATAATATTTTTAAGTAAATTATATTATTATCCACGGATATGAGTTTTTTAACCTCCACCTGAGCTTGACCTGACCCGACTTTACTCTCTTAAAAATTGACCCGAACCCGATTTTTTTTTATAAAAAAAATCGATCCTATCAGAATGAATCGAGTCTAAATCCGTTGATTTTGGATTAAATTATCATCTATCCGATTCGAATAAAAAATTATATATACTCCACTTAATCCAATCTGACCTGAAAAATATATATATTATCTACCTGATTTTAACCCGATCTAAATTTTTTTAGTATAAATCTGACCCGAGTCGATATAAAATAAGAATTTAATTTAAAAAATAATATTTTAAGCAACTTATATTATTATACACAGATATGAGTTTTTTCAGCTCTACCAGAACTTGACCTGACTCGATTTCAATCTCTTAAAAATTTCGACCCGAATTCAATTTTTTTATATAAAAAAAATCAATCCTATCAAAATGAATCGAATTAAAATCCGTTGATTTTGGATTAAATTATCATCCCTGATCATATTTTGTAAAATCTTACTGAAAAAACTTCATGGGAGTCGGAATCATGCCACGATTCAGAACATGGTCTTGGTCCAAAACATTATTCTTACATTGAGATGATTATGTTATTATTCATATAATTATATGAATAAAATCATGGTTAAAGTTTTAGAACTTAAGAAGTGTAAAGACTAAAAATAATTTCAATAAAATATATATTTTATAATAATTATTATTTTTATTAAATTTTAGGATTTATTAAATTTTAAACTTTAGTTAAATTCTAAATTTTAATATTTAAAATCTAAATCAAATACAGGGAAGCTTTAGGATTATGCTTGTGATAAACAACCTACAACATGTAAACTACCCCATAGTCACAATGAAATATAATAGAATAGATTATATCAATCATAACTTAATTTTATCTTTTCTCCTATTCACTCATTATATTTTAAATTCGTTTAATTTTCTCACCGAATTTAATACATTTAATTTTTTTGTCATTCTACCAATTTCTTATTAATGATGTTTTTAATTGATTGTTATATAGATGCAAAATGATATCGTTTTGGTGAAATTTTCATTTTTTAAACAACTTCGTTTTAAAGTTGTTAATTATTTATCGGTGAAGTGACAAAAAAAATTAAATGTATTAAATTTAGTAAAAATATTAAACAAATTTAAAATACAATGAATGTTCGATGATAATTGGTGTAATTTACCCAACAATATAACTGAACAACTACTCATCTACTTTTGTAGGGTTTGGAAACTTCTGGTGTGCGGCGTCTAAAAAACGGCTAATAAATGGTGTGACCTGTTAAACAAGTGACCGGTTAAAATTTAGATCAGTTATGTTATATTATTTAACTGGAAATATTATCAAGTACAATAATATATTAGGTAGCGCTTATATAATGTAATAGGTAGCGCTTATATTGATATATTTTCTAACTAAACATGTATATTTAAACCGGTAACATTGCAAAATTACTTATTACATTATAATTATCGGTTTTGATGTTTTTGGGATTAATACAATTTCAAATGTATCGACACTTTATGCGTGCACCTCGTTGTGCTTTCATTTTGGGAAAAAAGTATCGACACATATTTAAAGAGTATCGATACATAATGTAAACCTATTTGCTAATTAACAAGTATATTTTTATCGGTTACCTTGTAAATTTACTTGTTACATAATAATTATCGATTTCGATGTTTTTTGGATCGATACTTTTCATAAATGCATCGACACTTATGCGTGCACCAGTTTGAGTTCTTCAATCAACAGTTTCAATAACAAAAAATCCTAACCAAAAAAAAAAACTAAAACTGACCTAACTTTATTCTATGGAGATAATAAGAGTATATCATAAGTGTGCGTTGAGAGATGTCTGTTTCTGGGTTTTTATTCTTTGAGAAACTGATAACATGGTGAGTTTCCCAATGTTATTCTTTTGTTACTACAAAGTTTTTGTTCTTTTCTTATTGGATTTTGCTTAAAATATCCAACTTTTTGTATTAAAAATGAAAATTCTGAAATAAAAATGACCACACAAGCATACTTTTTACTACTGGTTTTATCTTTTCGAGACCGATTTTGTCATATTTTTACATGTTATATTGTTATGGATCGATACATTTTTATAAAGTATCGACACTTTATTGGGGCTATAACTTCTTTTCTTTTAAATTCCAAAAGTGTCAATACTTATAATAAAGTATAGACACTTTCAACATATCCGGTAGCTCTTTACCGGTTTTGTCATTTCGAGATCGATTTTGTCATATTTTTACCTGTTATATTGTTATGGATCGATACATTCTTATAAAGTATTGACATTTTATTAGCGCTATAACTTCTTCTCTTTTAAATTCCAAAAGTGTCGATACTTATAATAAAGTATCGACACTATCAATATATCTGGTAGCGCTTTACCTGTTTTGTCATTTATAGACCGATTTTGTCATTTGTTTACCTGTTATATTGTTATGGATCGATACATTTTTATAAAGTATCGACACTTTCAATATATCCGGTAGCGCTTTACCTGTTTTGTCATTTATAGACCGGTTTTGTCATTTTTTTACCTGTTATATTGTTATGGATCGATACATTTTTATAAAGTATCAACACTTTCAATATATCCGGTAGCGCTTTACCTGTTTTGTCATTTATAGACCGGTTTTATCATTTTTTTACCTGTTATATTGTTATGGATCGATACATTTTTATAAACTATCGACACTTTCAATATATCCGGTAGCGCTTTACCTGTTTTGTCATTTATAGACCGGTTTTGTCATTTTTTTACCTGTTATATTGTTATGGATTAATATATTTTTATAAAGTATCGACACAAACCGACAATCTAAGTTTGCCCGTTACCAAATTTTTTAATATTTCTTTATGATTTCCACCTATTACATTATTATTACTCGATATTTCCGGTAACGCTAAATCAAATTTATCAAATATCTTTTAATATATCCGATAACGTCATATATTAACCATATATTAGTCTGCATTTCCTGAGACAATCCGTACTTGTTTATCAGTTTTTATCGCTCCACATTCCGCTTATTAAATTCCAATATACTCTCCAAATTATACACTGATTTCAAAATTGCCGAAGGCTATTATAGGAATTTCAAAGATAGAAAAAATATCCCCTCCTCGGTTTTAAAACTTGAGGGCCAAAACGGCCCAGTCATTGGAACCATCCGATAATCTCAGCCGTACATTCTGTAAGATCAATGGTTTCAATTTCAATTTCCCCCTTTACTTTCCCTCTTCAGTGGTTTTCTTTATCGGATCATCATAAACCCTAGTCGCCATCTCTCTCTCTCTCTCTCTCTCCCCCCACCCCCCCCCCCAAAAAAAAAGAAAGAAAACGAGATATACGTAAAATCCCATAATTCTGTTTATCTCTCTTCAATTTATAGAGAGAGACTATATCCTTGTAAAGAACTAAGATCTTTGTGTGTTTCCTTTTGTTAATTTTGGGTTTTTGTTTTTATTTTATGGGTTTGATTTTAATTTTAATTCTGAGTTGAACGATCTTTGTAAGTGGAATTTCTCTGTTTTTGCTTACCTTTTTACTCTCTTGTAGTTATCTTTACTAGTTTCATTCTTTCGTCGTTGTAGCCGAGTAAAAACATTGAGTTTTCTCGATTTGTAGATTTGGGGTTTTTTTTGTGTGAACTGGTTAACTTATGGCCATGGATCTGCTTCCTAAGTGAGGGTAATCCTTTGGCTGTCTATTTGTTAACGTTCTGTTGAGTTTCACGTGGTGGTTGGTTGAGTGGGGCTTTTCTGGTTGTTGTTCTTTTTCCATTTTGACTCGTCTGGGTCGACTCGGTTACTGAGTCAACTCGTTCGTTGGGGGGTAAGGAAGAGCGACCGAGGAGTTTTTACCTTCAGTGGCGGGGCCGCGATGCCTTCGGTGGGGATGAAACGGAGCACGAGGGTCTGCAGGATGAAGAGCTCGGAGATCCGGATTCTTCGTTCCGGGCGGCAACTCTGGCCTGATTCCGGCGAAGTAAATCCCAAGAGGCGCAGCAACGACGGCGTTGAATTCAACAACTCGGTGAAAAAGACTCCAAAGAGTGAAATACAGAAGTTTCCTCCAAAGACAATTGAGAAGCCCAAAGGACTGAACCACGAAGAGAACCCAAAGAAACGGTCCAGGAAAGTGAAAGCTGAAGCTATAAACAATGGCGGAACTGTAGATAAAATGTTTGGGATTGTTTATACTAGAAAAAGAAAGAGAAATAGTGTTCAAAAGTGCCAACTTTCGGAAAATTCCGAGCTGAAAACTCCTGTCGATTCCACCGTCCTCGAAAACGATAAACTCGGGACTGAAGTTATTTCAAACCCGAGTTTTCGATCTTCGAAACTAACAGTTCGAAGCAGTATTCAGAAGAGGAGGAGTTCTCTGAGGAGAATGAGATCTAGAAACCCTTTTTCAAGTGGAGCTCTAATGTCTGAATTGGTAAGTAGTAGACGAAATGGGATTCCTTTTTCCTCCGTAGTTTCGAAAAACAAGCTTAGGAGTTGTTCATTCCGCAGTGATTCCTCGTCGAACTTAAGTGATGAGAGCTCTTCGACATCAGTTTTATCGGATCTAATGCAGAAGGTAGAGTTGGAGTCGGAATCATGGCGATGCTCTGCCAATGTTTTGATCGTTGAACCGAATAGATGTTACAGGGAAGGAGCAATCGTCACTTTGGAGCTCTCTGAAACAAAAGAATGGCTTATTGTAGTGAAAAAGAATAATAGAACTAAGTATGCACTGAAGGCAGATAAATTTATGAGGTCAACCTCGATCAACCGCTTCACTCGGTCTATGATTTGGGCTGCAGATGATACCTGGAAGCTTGAGTTTCCAAATCGGCAAGATTGGATCCTTTTTAAAGATCTTTACAAGGAATGTTGTGAGCGCAATGGGCCTGCTTCAGTTTGTAGAGTGATCCCTGTGCCCGGGGTCTGTGAAGTATCGGGAAACGAGGGTAAACCCAGTGTGCTGTTTCGAAGACTGAATTCGTATATCACGGTGGATGGCGATGAAGTATCTAGAGCCTTGGCAAGGAGGACTGCTAGCTATGACATGGATTCAGAAGATGAGGAATGGTTAAAGAAATTCAATAACGAACTTTATAGTGGAAATGGGCATTACGAGCATCTTTCGGAGGATTGTTTCGAGTTGATGATTGATACGTTCGAGAAGGCAGCTTTTTGCAGTCCAGATGATCACTCGAATGTGATTGCTGCTGCATCTGATATAGGTATAAGGCCGGTGGTTGAAGCTGTTCATGCTTACTGGTTGAAGAAACGGGACCAAAGGCGATCGCCACTGCTCAGAGTTTTCCAGGTATACTTTGTGGAAATTTTCTTCATGGAAATAGATATCTATATCATTGTAGATTCATTTGGGAAAGTAAAGTCGTTCCATTGTATCGTCATTGTACTATATACATCTTTTGTGAATGAAAATTCAAACTTGTATTAGAAGCAAGAGTACCTGTTTGTTGAAATTTCTTAGTTTCATGATATCGAAAACAAAGTATTGAATAACTGATCACGTCGTAGCACTACTTTCCGGTGTCTTTGTGTGCATGTAGAACAATAAGCATTGGTTATGCCTGACTGCCATAGATATATGACCAAAATGAATGTTATATTCGAACAGGGTCATCAGATCAAGAAGGCTCCGGTCATTCCACAGCCTTTTCTACGGAAAAGGAGGTCGTTTAAGCGTCAAGCCAGCCATGGAAGAGGCAAGCAACCAAGTTTGCGGCAAGGTAAATTATACTCCGACTATAACTGTCATGCTCTGGTATACAAGTTGCAAGGTTAATAGCACTTTGATTCCGATTTGTCACTGCGACCATTATTGTGCAGCCATGGCAGCCGAACACGATGTATTGGAAGAAGACAATGCGATGGCTAAAGTGGAAGAAGCTAGAGTCGCAGCAACCAGACATATTGAATCAGCTATCCTCAAACGCGAACTGGCTCAGTTGCTAATGCAAAATGCTGATATGGCTACATACAAAGCCACAATGGCACTCAGAATCGCCGAAGCTGCTAGTCTTACCGGATCATCGGAAGATACAGCGGCCCACTTTTTGTTCGATGAGGTGCCGGTAGTTGTCTAGTAGGGGGTAGTTTGCACAGCATCATGGCTGTTTTTGAAGCCCATGGGAATTGGGGAAGAGTAGTGTAATAATGTATAGCTTGATTTAATTTTCAAATGTATCATCGTGTATTATTTTAACTTGATGCCATTGTAGAGAAATCTGAAAAGGGAGAGAATTACAGGGAATTTGCAGCCTATTGTTGAACCTTATATCAATTACATGATTATTAATTATTATAAACTTGTAGTAAAATTTAACTGATTATGTGAAATATGTGTAGGTTCAAATGTCTTTTGAAATCTATTTTTTCATATTTTCATTTGACATTAGGCTTAATTATAAAATGACATTTCAAATTATAATGCCTTTTATAAATGTGTCTAAATATTTTTTTTTAATGTTCTAAGTGTTTAACGTTATAAACGTTATCACTTTAGGTGTTCGGATTGGAATTGTTTTTAATTTTTTTCGATTAGTGACATGTGTCAAATTCAAATAATTTTGAATTTAAAAAATATTATTATGTTTATAAAAAAAACGTAATTTCTCTTAAAGTACAAAAAATTCCTTAAAATCCTTTAATCCTAACCTGTCGCTATTGATATTTCCAGTCATGACCACCGTCGTTGATATAGTCCCTGTCGTCTCCCTAATCATACGTTGCCATAATTGTCACCGATTGATCGTCGAAATTGCGTGTGTTTCTAATATATAATTTTAATATTTTAATTTTGAATAATTTTTTTAAAATTATCAGAATATGACATGTGTCATTTAATGGAAAAAATTGACATTTATGGTCCGAAAACCTAAAGTAGTAAGGTTTATAACATTAGACACTTTGATCATTCAAAAAATAATTTAGGTATCTATACGTGATAATTGCTATAGCTTGAGCACTTATTTTATGATCAAGCCTTGACATTATACTATCTTTAGTTAAAAATAGTGGTTTCTTCGTTACCTTTTGTCTCGGAGGCTCCTCGTTTTCTAAAAGTATCTTTAGGTAAAACGTTTGATTCGACGTAAAATTAATGTTAAACTGATAAAAAAGTGAAGAAAAAAATACGATGGAAAATATGTTTTCAAACAAACGGCATAAGTTAGGATTTCTAATTTTTTTCGGTTTCAACTACGCTTGGAAACAAATTATAATTATACACTTACTAATGCACGATTTCCGCTCATTTATATACTTACATTTTACTTTAAAAATTTAATGCTAACCTTCTTAAAAACAATTTATTTCTTAATAATTTATTTTAATTACTATTATTTTTTTAATTTTTTTTGTCAAAACAAATATTTAAATTATTATCTCATAATCATTTTATGTCCACGCATTAAAAAGTATTGATAATATATTATTTCTTAATAAAATATTTTATATATAAAATATTATTAATGAGTTATCTTAAAATATATTTTTATATTTTATTTATAGTTTAAGTTGATATATTTTATATATCATGTATTAATAAGTGTAAATATAATTTAATTACTATATTTTTAATTTACAACATAATTTCTATAATGGACATTTTACATTTTTAAACTCATTTTTTAACAATAATCTCAAACAACTAAATTTTAAATTGCCCTTTTGTACCACACTTTTAAAAATTCGTTTCTACAACACTTTTAAAAACCACTTTTCAAAAATTACGACGATGACTTGATAATTAAAAAAAAATATACATTTGATATTTGAATTAGACACTTTCTCTTAAATTGGTACTTAAAAAAATAAATTATACATTGATATTTGAATCCAATATGATAATTATTGAATTTTTACTTCAAAACACACATATTTTTACTTCAAACTCAAGAAATACATGTTTTGTCAGTAAATATTATTATAGTAAATAATAAAAAATTAAAAAATTAATAATAAAATTTTCTTTTGCACCCAATAAAACTCTTATATTTTGAATTTTTATGAATTTATCTTTTCAATCAATATTAATTGTTAAATCATTATAGTGTTACCAAATGATGTTTTCAAAGTTTTATTAATTTTCAATACATTTTTGAAGCTTTTTGGAATTATTTTAGAATTTCAATAATTTTTTTGAAGATTTATTCTCTAAAAGATTTGTAAATTTCATGTGATAGAATATCAATGTGTTAAGTAGCAGTAATATTTTATTTAAAATATATCATTTTTTATTTAAGTACCTAATATATTTTTTGGTCAAAATAAGTATTTAAAGTTACTTTTTGGATCAAAATAGGTAACTAAATATTTTTTGTCAAAATAGATACCTAAAGTATTCAATTTTTTTCATCCAAGTACCTAAGGTATTCTTTAATTAATGTCACATATCAATCTTTTTAAAACTTAGATGAAAACGTTTGAATAGTTTAGGTACATATTCTGACATAAAATACTTTAGGTAACTATTTTGATTAAAAAAAAGATAAATTTAGACATTTAAAAAATATTTTAAGTACATAAATAAAAAATAAAAAATAAAAAATAAAAAATATTTTAAGTACATATTTTTATTATATTGAATATTTATATAAATATTCAAATCATTTTTGTTAAATCTTTTTAACGCTGAGAATGTGATGAACAAAACATTTTAAGAACTTTATTTTTGTAATCTTACTAAATAAATGATTAAAGATGGAGTGTTGAAAGGTTCATATATAAGTTCATTAGTTTTTTATTCGAATATTAAATCGTAATATTTAATTAATTTATTTGAAATTATATAACATATGAAAATGTAGCAATATTAATTATTATTTTAAAGAATATAATTTTAATTTTTTTAAGATAAAAAATTAGAGTTGGCTTTATTTTAAAAAGAAAATTAATATGACTCGTATATTTTTTTTAATGTGATCCTCTAACATAGATAACAATCCTAATGTAACATTTTGATCAACATTTTTCGTCGTTTTATTGTTACGATATTGATATGGTAGTTTACGATACTAACGTGACAGTCTTACGGTACTGACGTGACAATACTTCTACTATGTTTGAGTTATCAATTTAGTCTATCTACTATGTTATCCGTCACATTATCAACCACTGTGGACCGTCACGTCAACACTATGAACCGTCTCGTCCATACTATAACGATTAACGACAAAAAAACATTCTTCAAAATGTCACATTAAATTTATATTTGGATTTAAATAACCGTATGGAGAGAAAAATAATACAAAAGGTAGCATTGATATTTTTAAAGCACAAAGTATGCCTTTTTTGCTTTTTTTTATTATAATAAATTGCTATCAAATTAATTAGTGCCATTTATTTTGGGCCTTCAGATCTCTCAAAGGCCCACGTAAATTAAAGTCGTAAAACCCTAAACTGAAACTTAAAGCTGAAACCTAGCAATCAGCAAAGCTCTTGCCTTTTCCTCTCACTAGTCACTACTCTTCAATCCCCAGACGCGGCCGCCGGTTTTTGCTTTCTGGTAAGCAACACACTCACACCCTTTCTCTCTATAACTTGAAGATCTGTGCGGTTTTCTTTTTTCTTCTTATTTATCAGCTCTTTCATTGAATTGCAAAGAAAGCTTGGTGTTTATTTACCTGTTTGATTAGGTTTAGATCGCACTTATATTCTTATTTAGTACGTTGTTCATGTTTCTGGGTTTTTGGGAAAGTTTAAGAATTAATTGTTTCCAATGGGTCAAAATCTTTGGTGCTCTTAAACATATTTTCCTGTGCTTGGTTCTGTCACTATGTAAGCTAAGATTAGAAACTTGGGTTCGTTGGTTGGAACCGAATCCTTCGTTTGGATAAGAGATTGGATCACTGGAAATACTGTTATTATTTTGGGAAAATGATGGTTGTTAGAAGCATGATAAGGGTAAAATTAGGGGGAAATGGATCTGAAAAGAAATTAGTGAATCGGGGATGGCATTAGGGTAATGATGATAAAGTCCTCGATGAAGGAGGACGACTTGGACCAAGTCACCTGCAGATGAGGATGAATTTAAGTATTGGTTTGGGACCTTAATCCAATGGGTTTTGATTTCATCCAATCGGGTTGGGTTTTTAAAAAAATGGATACAGGTTTAGGATGAAAAAAATCTGATTTGACCTGAAAAATAATATAATTATATATTAATATTTATGGATAATTTCAATAATATCCCTTTTAATATCAATTTTTTAAATTGGATCCCTATTTTATCGAATAAAATTAAAATTTTTATATATTTGTATTGGTGTGGGTTTTATCTCAAAAGATGAGTCGGGTTTCGGGTGGGTGAAGTTACCCTAAACCCAGATTAGGTTTTGGGTGGAGGGTGTATTTTTATTGGGTTGGGTTGTTTGTAAACTCGACCCATGCCTATTCCTAGATGAATTTGGTCTATTTTTTTTTAATTGTGGTACCAAATTGTAAAAAATGGAAGTGGAAGATTAAAATATATCTTTTTTCATAAATCAGTATTAAGTGAATTTTGGGTGCCTTGAACTCACTGTTTCATTTTATTATAGTTATATTTTAATAAAAATTCGTTTTAGTCTCTATACTTCTATTTCTTTCAACGTAGTCTTAAAAATGCAAAAAGGGAAAAAATTGAGCAAAGTCGCCGGCAGCTGTTGACAACTTTGCCAAAGTCGGTTTCAGTTGTCGATGACTTCATATGCATTGTAGAAACGTCCCTATTTCCCTATTTAATCCAATATCATCCCAATACCTAATTCTTTCCCAGCACCCTTTTCCCTAATTGATCCCAATATATGTGTTGAGTTGTTTTAGTTTCTTAAAAGCTATATAAATAAATGCTTAATTTGATGTAAAATCCACAGCAGCAGGAGTAGCTTGTATTCGGAAAGATGGTGAGGGTCAGCGTTCTAAATGATGCACTGAAGAGCATGTACAATGCGGAGAAGAGGGGCAAACGTCAGGTCATGATCAGGCCTTCCTCAAAAGTGATCATCAAGTTCCTTATGGTTATGCAGAAACATGGTTCATTTCAACTTTTGATATACATCTCTACCCATTTTTTCTTTGCATTCAACCGTTCATTTGATCCATATGCTTATATTGGCATTTACAGGTTACATCGGAGAGTTTGAGTATGTTGATGACCACAGAGCTGGTAAAATCGTGGTTGAACTGAATGGAAGGCTTAACAAGTGCGGGGTCATCAGTCCCCGTTTTGACATAGGAGTGAAGGAGATTGAGGGTTGGACTGCAAGGTTACTTCCTTCTAGACAGGTTAGCTGAGAAACTTTATTAGATTTCCCCCCTTTCTCTTGTGTTGTTGTGATGTCTGGCGGTCTGATCTAAAGTTAATTTGTGACGAGTTTTAAATTAAAGTGTTACTCTGGCCAACCTAAAAATAACAAGTGCGGGGTCATCGTCCCCGTTTTGACATAGGAGTGAAGGAGATTGAGGGTTGGACTGCAGTTACTTCCTTCTAGACAGGTTAGCTGAGAAACTTATTAGATTTCCCCCCTTTCTCTTGTGTTGTTGTGATGTCTGGCGGTCTGATCTAAAGTTAATTTGTGACGAGTTTTAAATTAAAGTGTTACTCTGGCCAACCTAAAAAGTCAAATAATTGGTAATAGTTTCGGTTTCAACCGAGAATTTTACATTGCGGCAGGTTTTAATCTAAAACTTACCTGTCTACTCTAAGAAGTTACACAAGTTAATAACTTCGGTTACGGCCAAGAATGTCTTGACGGTAACTTTTTAGGTTGTAATTGGAATAGTCATGCAATTTACATGATTTGTTATGTAGAATATAATATTTTCGGTTTCAACCTAAAATTTTACCTAGTTTACTCTAGAAGGTTATGCCCTTGATAAGTTTTTCAGTTACAATAGATTTCTTTCTATTTTTTAGTCTTATATTAATCGGTTGTATTTTAGACTCATCCCTTTTTTTTTATGGAAATGTTTTTGTACGAATTATAATGTTTTGTTCGATTTTTATATTCGTATCTTGAATGCAGTTTGGGTACATTGTGCTGACTACATCTGCTGGAATAATGGACCATGAGGAAGCCAGAAGAAAGAATGTTGGTGGAAAGGTACTTGGCTTCTTCTATTGAGTGATTTCTTCTTTAAGAATGATGTGTTTTAGGGCTGGGGCTTGATGGTTAGCCATCATCTTGCCTGTGATGAAGATTTTCAATCGGTAGTTGTTATTTCCTTTTGCATTAACGGTTTGGATTATTCTTATTTCAAAGTTTATGCAATTCTCTTGAAATTTTCATTCCACATCTGCATCTAAATTAATTATTCTTGATGGTTGCATATATCAACTAAGTTGGTCTATGGGACCTCACAGATGATATTAGCGCTGTTTTCCCAATTCAGGATTTTTCATAATATGGCGTAAGCTGAGTGTAATATTCTCAACTATAGGTCGATCTAAATTTGATTTGATTCGAAAATATATTTTCCAAATTTGATCCGAACATATTTTTTTTAAAAAATTTAGAGTTTATTGAGGTAGCTTGATTTCTTTGTTCGGATCTAAGTGATTTAACGCAAATCTTTTTAACAAGAATAGGAATTAGAATATAATTATCTGCTCTCTTATCGTATTTTCAATTTGCTCATTAGACTTTCGAATCACTTCTGTTTTAATTGCTCTGAATTATTTTATTATTGTTTTTAATAGAATAACATTTTATTATTATTAAATTTAAAGAGACTTAAAATAATCAGAATTCATTGTCAACCTTCGAAATAGTAATAAAATTATCATATAATACAAAAAAAAATAGTTCAAAGTAAGTAAAATTAGAATAATTCGAAAGTTTAACTAAAAGTAAAAGTAAATGAATAATATAAGAATAAAATTTAAAAAATTGATGTATTTAATTAAACTAAATTATTAAAATGTATTTAAAGTTCAAACAAAATAAATTTAGAAATGTCTCGGTACAATATAATATTTAAAACTAAAGTAAAATAGGTGTCATCTTCAAAGTCTAAACATCATATAAATCGAGACTTGTTATCCATATGAATGTTATGCATCGCAAATATATGATATTCATTGTTAAATAGCCTTTAAACAGATAACACCTTATATGCACCCATGTTTATAAAAAAATTCTAAACAAGGGTCATCCAATTTGTAAGAGGTTTATTCTTGTGATGCTGGTAAATTGTGCTCTCAAAGAGAGTATATAACATCCTACCATACATAAAATGGCATAGATGTGCCAGTCTCTGCTCGTGCAAAGTCACCACCGGAAAACACTAGTTGTTTTCCTATGTTTAACTCACAACATATCCAGAAAACAAGTGTATGCAAGTAAATCACGACTACAGATACTAGCTGATAGTGATAAAAAAGGCACGTTATTTCATGGCAAAAGCTTTTACACATTCGCAACGGGAGATGCTCCACGTTGAAGGCCCTCACAGGACAGAAGCAATTTGCCCAACTTCTAATGGAAGCATCTTCCCCAATTCACTTTGGCTCTCCTCATATTGCTGTGACATAATAGATGCATTCACAAGGATGATAACCTAAAAAAGCCACAAAAGAATAAAAACACAGTTCGAAATATAGGCATGAAAAGGATGAGCAATACCTTCATCATTGATGAGTGATTACATTCTTGGCTCCAATAAGTCTCATATACTTTTCTTCATCATCGTCATCAATGGCAATGAATATGCCACACCAAACGAGCTTCTTCAACCTTTGCCAGAGCTACAGAAGCTCCAAGATAAACCGAGAGTGAGGTAGTGGGCCGATGCATATTTCCTTCAAAACCATGTCTAGCTCACCCCGGTTTTTTATGCCTGTACTGCTGCCAGTTTAGATAATTCGTGACTACATCATTCAATATTTTCAGATCGTTGTTCTACTGGAAGGGTGCAGGCATGCCCAGGCCCCTCACTGGGGCTGGGCTAATCCAAAACTAACATCAGGCTGATGTTGATGAGGCTGTATAAATTCAATGATTCAAAGACCAAAATCAGAACTGTAAACCAAAGAGACAAATATTGTTTTCAATTTTTGTTCCTTTCTATCCCTCCCTCTCCTGTTCCCCCACCTTTTTCCCAAAACAAAAAGCAGGAACTCGGTATTTTACTCAATTAATAACAAGGCCCTCAGTCTTCACGAATAATTACTAGGTCAACACATAAATTCCGTTTATATGCAGGGATTCATAGGAATCTTCAAAAGCCAGTTCCACCATGCATAAATGCATCTGGTTTACAAAAGGTTTTACTGTTTGTTTCATTGGTCTATCTTTCATCTTGGAGTGAACAATCAATGTACAATAAGGATAGAGAAAGAATGGAAATGAAGGGAAAAGGAGAAGAGAACGGGTGTTTAGGGGAGATAATTATAATTACTCTATATAGAATAAAACTTTCAAGATTCACTTTAAAATGTAGCGGGGGAACTTCTTTGTTCACTGCACATGCTGCAAGTGATGATGAAAAACTATTAACTAAAGATGTGACCAAAAGCATGCATCAGAAGAACCAAGAAGGGTTGCACTTACTGACATTAGGAAGGAAAGTTGTGAAGTTGCTATACCTGTGAAAAAGGTTGGCGTACATGCTCATGAGGGTGGATGAATGGCATTCCAGGACGCTGAAGAGGATACTGAGAAGAATGCAAATATATGGCAGATGTGGAGTGTGAGCAAACATGACTGGGATTAAAAGGTGGCATCATCGTTTCAGGATGACCATAACTGATTCCTGCAGCGGTTGGTGGAGCCATCCAGGGCCCAGGTATATGTTGAGGGAGAGGACAAGGTTGGTGCTCAGTAGATATTTGAGGCTGATGAGCAGATCCAAGTTGTGGAAATTCAGTGTTGTAGTTAATTGCAGGGGTGTACATAGGCTGCATTGTGTATGGTCCACTATTGAATCCAAACCCAGGATCAAATCTTTGCATGTACCTAAAGAAAAGAAATTCAAATGAAATAGGTCAATCCAGCATTGATCTTACCAGAGCACGTGGATTTGAAAAATATATTAGACATTGTTAAGATTTTTATCTAAAATAGATCTCCCCCCCTCCCCTCTTCAATTTACTACCAAACAAAATATTCCACCACATAAGACAGCGGAAAACAAAAAACACTTATAAAGGTTCAAAATTTCGGTAGTCCTATCAATCCTTTCCTCTTACTCCATTATGAAGCTTTCCTTCTACCAATTATCCCTGAATTTTCTAATTAATAGATGTACAATTATGAACCAACTTGCCATAAATATATAGAAAGGTATCAAAAACAAAAAGGATGGTAATGAACCAAAAGAGTGTTGAAATTGAACAAAAAAGAGAACTTATGAAAGGATTATGGGAGAAAAAGGCCATTTGATAGGCCTGAGGGAATAAAATATTAAAAAGAGGGATATACCTATCATAGTTCCTGTAATAATCAGGATCCTTGCGCTCAGTCTCACGATCCCGAAAGATGGCCACCCTATTATGTGGTTTGCTCCTACCAATTGGCTCCTTCTCTGTCCTACTTCTAGCTGGCCTACTACTACTTGAAGAGTAATCAATCAAACCACTACCAGAATTTACATCAGAAACCATTGCAACCGATTTCTCTTCCATATTTGGCATCCCTGAGGAACCATAGTAGGAAACGTCTTGCAACCTCGGTTCACTTGCTGGTTTTCCACTAGAACCACTGCTAGAACTATTGGCATTAAAATATCCTTGCTCGACCTCGGTTATACTCCTCTTTTCTTTCTTCCACACTTTTAGAGCTATTTGATTTCATAGAATTTGAATTTGAATTGTTCACAAGCTGAGACCTTTTCTGTGGCCTCTGTTTAATTGCCACCTTAACAACACCAGGGTCTTCTGATGGTAAATTTACAGGGATGTCTGCCAGGCGGATCTGAGGAAGCCTACATTCAGAAGTCTTACAAACAATGATTCTGGAGCCAGACCCATCAGGTAAATTGTTGTCTAATAAAACCATTGACTGCAATGAGTAATGCTGTGCAATACGATGTGCAGCCAACCTTAAATATGATGTAGGCAGCTGTTGGAACTCAAATTGCTGCTGTGTAGGGCCACGAATAAATTTTTCTACATCTTGTTCCATCCTCAGGACTGAACGAAAGAAATTAAGAAATCTCAGTTTACATAATAAACAAACACAGTGGATCAAATATTGAAAGGCGCAGACCACTCAATCTATGAAGATACAATGGTAGTAAAATGAATAAAATCCAGAATATGAAGATTCAATTTCAAGTACAATCTACTCTCAATTTGTTCTATCAACGCATACTTTATTTACTCCTTCCACAAGCATTCTTAAATAGCCAACTTTTAAAGAACATTAAATCTATTTATAAAAGATCAAGAATCTTTAAAAAAAAAGTTCTAATCAAAGCCTTACTAAGTTCAAACAAAATTCAGTTCATTGTAACATAATGAATTACCAAAAGGTCACCGGCAATGTTGGAATATCAAATGCACCAATACAAAGTTGATTGCTCCATAGTAATTGAACATTACAATAAAGCTGGATTTGAATGTTGCAATTAAGGATATTAATTATTAAACACCATCAAAGCATGCACCAAAAACATGATTAGTAACCAAGAAAAATACAGTTATTTTCTTTCATATTTTCGTTTCTTAATCAAAGGTGTTTAGATAACTACTAGGATAAGGTCTAGTGAAGAGACACACTGGTTCAGACAGAGGGAGACGCAACAACCGAATATGCAATGACCGATCCCTAAATCCAAGAGCCCTAGTGAATTATCCGCAAAACTTGAGAGAGAGAGAGAGGCTTACTGGAAAGGCGCTCACGGGGATTTTGGATAGCGTCGCGGAGGAACTGATCAACCTGGTTAATAGAATCCTCCGAAACCACCTTCTCATCCGACGAACCAGAGGAAGCAGAATCGGGGAAATCGGGCTTGGATTCCTTGTTCGAAGAGAGCATCAAACGACTCATGGTAGCGTCCAAATCGGCAACCTCCCACGAGTCCGGCGCCCCAAGATCCTCCACCACAGAGCCTTCCATGGTGGAACGGATGACGGAGGTTTCCTTTTTCGAGAACTCTGGACCACCAATCGGAAGGAAGGAGAGAATCGAAGATAGGGCCCGTGGAGGGAATAACCTACGGGGGAGAAGGCAAGGCCTTGTGGATTTCTCATGAGGAATCGTGGATTTGAGAGGGATAGGGTTAGGGTTTGGGGGAATTTGGGAACGGGGAGAATGGGAGAGAAGAGCAGAAAAGATGACATTTATCCACTA